TAAACTTCTCCATAGAGGTATAATGAACAAACTGAAAAAAATAATAATAATACTAATACAATAACATAAAATAACTAATAAATAGATGCTCCTGATAATGGTCGTCGATCTGCGATGTCTACAGTGATAGTCGTGCTGGAATTTTTTGTTGATGTCCTCATCACTTCTTCTACTCCTTTGCTTCAAATCCTGAGTCGCCACTCTTCATATTATGCTTTCTTGAATACCTCTGATTCCTAGGCAACTTGGGATCCATCCCTTCAATGGATGCTTCCCTATGCCTCCTAGGCTTCTTGATTCCATTCTTGTGAGGCTTGACAGACTGGTTGTGAGCCGTGTGATTCTTCGAGTTCGCTATTCTAAGCCATTAGAGAAGCAACTAAACTTATCACGCGAGTCAAATAGAGTAACTAGTAATCAGATATTTAGGAGGAAGAAACATATTAACTATACCAACTAACCTCTAATATGAATGCAGCTAATGACGTCATCTTAAACCTCTTCGTTGTAGAAAATCGAAGTGCACAACCAGTGAAGAGTTTTTGTCAAATAAATTTCCATTAATTACATGTTGCAAGTATGCTAACTGCAATATGTAACAACTAATCTGATAAATTCAAGTAAAAATTCTTCTCCACGTTCTAAATATTAGCTATAGAAGAAATGGAGAGGAAGTTGAGGAAGTTCATGCCATCTGGGCGTGCGAACAGAGGGAAGAGAGCGAAAATTTCGCTGTGGAATCTATTAGTTTGTGGTTTTATCCATTAGTCTTTTATGCGTCAATCTTAAGAAAATGAAAAGAAAAATAAAAGTTGAATAGAAGGGAAGAAAGGGACAAAAACAGAAGCAAGGGAAAATGATAAAGAACAAAATAAAGAAAACTATCGCCATAACTTCATTTATGATCTTCAAATTATTTTATTAAAAACACTTTACGCATAACTGTATCTACCTACGAAAAATTTCGTTTGTCACTCAGTATATTTAAATAACTTATTCTAGAGTCACCATAAGACTTTCGAGAAATGTAACGTTCATTATGACTCTATGATAAATCTTATTAAACACACATGATCCTATAACTTTTGCATAACTTCTACCTACAAAGCTTTATTCACTCATGTAAAAAAATTAATCAACACAAAATTTACGGGCGCTCTCAATCATGGGTTTTCGATCGGACTCCTCAACAGCTCTCACTGACCTGACTCACAACAGGGGTCCCAAGGATGGACTTACTTCGTGACAGAGAAGCCGGTCCATTCCAAACCATTAGTCTTTCCTTCTCTCACATCCGCCGTGCAATTGACTACTCCTTCGTAAAACAAATTTTAATTTTATTAAAGCTCTCAATTGTATGATGGTTCACGGCGAATTGCTACCAGTATGGCTTCCTGAACTCTACGCGGCAGTCGTCCTGCTGGTCATACTTTCAGGTGATTCTTAGGGATAATTCTCTTTCTTTGTCCCCATTATTACTTTTGTATTTTATCTTTATTTTTAATTAATTTTATTTAGTATTTTGTGACTCTCTAGCTCTCCCTTTATTCTGGGAGAAAAAACTACTCACTCTTAGTTAGGTACTCTGGTACCTTAACGTTCGTGGTATTGTCCTTTAATGTTCTACTCGTCTCATCTTGCACTACGCGGCTCTCGGCCTCACCTAGTTCAATTTAGGCAATACAATATGTCACTCGTTGCTCACGTATTCGCCCTCTCTATATCACTATCCTCTCTCAATCGGGAAAGGCTATGTAGATCCGGATCGACACGAACAGAAGCAGCACTGACTAGCCTGTCCGGGATAGTTCCAATGAAACAGTACCACTTCGCATCCCAGAGACGCGAACATATATATTCACATTTCATTATAATCGCCGCATTCGCTAGACTAACCTTCTAAGCCCTTTCTTCTTGACGCTCTTCTTCCTTTATTCTTTTCTATCCTCAACCTTTCCTTCCTCATCTTGGTCCCTTCTCAATTCCTTCTTGC